GTTTCATTGCATCCAAATTTGTCAGTCTTGTCCTTGCTAGTACTTATGAAACAGTAATGCATTTCCATTATTGTTGTTCTTCATTTATTTGTCACTGAAGTTGAGGGTCGATGTGTGGTTTTTTTGTTAACATTTGGTGTTCAGTCTTGGAATGCCCTTTCTCAGTCCTGTGGTACCTATTGCAAAGCTGAACATCATGCCCAATAAACTGGTGTTTATTTATTTATTTATTTATTTAAAAAACAACCTCATGAAAATTCATCAGTATTTGAATGCAAATTCGGAAGGACTGCTTTGTTCCAGTGCATGTTTAGTTTCAGAATGAGTGCATTAGTTTCAGAATGAGTGCAATTCCTCCCTCGTCCCTAGGGATAAGTTTCAAAAGGACCTGAGAATTAGCTGATGGGGAGGTAGGTGCTGATACTATCAGGGAACCTGGAGTCCTCCCAGACCTTCAGTTTCAATATTCTCATTCTCTCTCTCTCTCTCTCTCTCTCTCTCTCTCTCTCACTCTCTCTCGGATTTTGCATTTTTAGAATGGCAACTATGGACAATGAGCAAGGTAGCTGCATAATTCCTTTACTTTTCAGGTCAGCCTTGGTTATAATGGCCACCTAGACTTAATCCTTAGAGGCCACATACCTTTTTTCCATAGGTGTGCATTGCTGGATAGCAATACCAAGCCATGGCTCGCCTGCGAGATCCCTGAATGTGTGTTGCAACCAGGAAAATGCTTTGCAAGCTCAATTTGCAAAGCTGATTTGTGCAAGTTCCTTCAAAACCAAACACGAATGTTGTTGCTGGGGATGTACATGGGTTGCTCTGCTTGAGCAATATCTTGGAACGAGGGAGTGGACCTTTGGCAGGGTCTAAGCATTTGGGAATCTCATAATGTAGAAAGTCAGTCCTGTCTTTAAAGCGGACGCAAAACAGAGGGCAGCTGAGGTGAGAGAAAATGAGGGTCAAATGACAAGACAGTGAGAGGAACAATAAAGGCACCAGAAAAATATGCAATTAGTCGAACCATCTGAAATGATGAAACCGCAGATGATCAAAACATGTTAATTCTGCGTGCTTTTTCATCTCTTATAGTTTGGAGCCTAATCAAGGGCCATTCATGACATTATTGCCCAGCAATGCACAAACTGCAGATCGGGGGCATAGCAATTTGTGTGCTGGAATAGAACTTAAGAAGAGTCCTCCTAGATTAGGTCAAAGAACCCATCTGGTCCAGTGTCCTGTTCCTAGAATGGTCATCCATATGCTTCTTGAAAGCCCACCAGCAAAAACCCAGGAGCGACAGCACTCTCACCAGGCGTGCCAACTCCTAGGGGCAGAGGGGTCTTTGGCACCTTCTGTGTTGAGGAGCGGAGGAGGCTGAGCGTGCTAGGTTCAATGGTTGGCTCCTCCTGAGCATGAGAGAAGAAGCCACACCACGCCAGGCTTTGCGCTTGGCTTCCTCCCAACGATGCAAAATCCTGCATCGTCCGTATTACATCACAAGAGCACACCTCGTGCTGCCTCCCCCCCAATCTTTGGTGCAAGACAGTACCTCTGACTCTCACCATTTGTAACTCCAAGCAACTGGTATTCAGAGGCATGGTACCCCTGACAGCACAGGCAGAACATGGCCTTTGTGTCTTGTGGCCATTGCCATCTAGTAAAAAAAGGTAAAGGCAAAGGACCCCTGGATGGTTAAGTCCAGTCAAAGGCGACTATGGGGTTGTGGCGCTCATCCCACTTTTCATGCCGAGAGAGACGGTGTTTGTTGGCAAGAGCTGAGAAAGGGCAATGGGAGCTCACCCCGTTGCGGGGATTCGAACTGCTGGCCTCAGTGGTTTAGACCACAGCATCACCTGCATCCTACCATCTAGTCGACTACTGAGAGAATAGCACTATTTTTAATCCTCTTTAAAGGCCAGCCAAGTTAGGAGCCCTTGCTACCTCCTGTGAGAGCAAGCTCCATAGTTTAACTGTTATTAATTATTATTTTTTATGCCACTACGTATTGCGAGAAGAACTCCTTCCTTTTATCCATCCCGAGTCTTCCAACATTCAGCTTCATTGGATAGCCCTGAGTTCTAGTGTTATGAGAGAGGAAGAAAAACTCTTTATGCATTTTCTCCATACCGTTCATGATTTTATCTACTTCTATCACGTCACCTCTTCCTTGCCTTTTCTCTAAACTGAGGAAGTCTTGGACAGTGGAAGGAGCCACTGATAGTGTTATCTGCCCTGGTTCAGGTCAAAGGCATTCTCCGTGTCCATTGGATGTCTCTAAAATTTCCAAAGCTGGACATAAATGCAATAGTGCTGCTTCTCCTCTGTTAGTATATGGTTAGAGTGTGGTAGGGACACAGGTGGCGCTGTGGTCTAAACCACTGAGCCTCTTGGGCTTGCTGATCGGAAGGTCGGTGGTTCAAATCTCCGCAATGGGTTGAGCTCTCGTTGCTCTGTCCCAGCTCCTGCCAACCTAGCAGTTAAAAAGCACACCAGTGCAAGAAGATAAATAGGTACTGCTGCGGCGGGAAGGTAAATGGCATTTCCATGTGCTCTGGTTTCCATCACAGTATCCCATTGCACCAGAAGCGGTTTAGTCATGTTGGCCACATGACCCGGAAAGCTGTCTGTGGACAAATACTGGCTCCCTTGGCCTGAAGCGAGATGAGTGCCACAACCCCATGGTTGCCTTTGACTGGACTTAACTGTCCAGGGGTCCTTTACCTTTCTAGAGTGTGGTACTGATAATGCCAAAGTTGCAGGTTCGATCCCTGTATGGAACAGTTGCATATTCCTGCATTGCGCTCTCTCTCTCTCTCTCTCTCTCTCTGTGTGTGTGCAGACTAGATGATTTTCAGGGTCCCTTCCAACCCTTATAATTCTATGGTTCTATGGTTCCCAGGTATACTGCTAGTTAAGGACATTCAAAGTCAGACAAGTAGTTGACTATTATTTCTTTCATGAATTTATACCCTCCCAACCTGCATGAATAGCATACCCCCCAAATGTCTCATTTTCCCCAGGACATTCCCAGAATTACAGAAGCTGCCCCGGCTTCTGATTTGATGCTGAAATGTCCTGTTTTCTCCCTCCATTGCTGCTGCTGCCAGGCTCGGTGAAGAGGGTGAGCCAGCCCTCACAATTACAGTGGTGCCGTGCTCTCATGAGAGTCAGCTGGCTTCCCCAAGTGTGCAGCAGCCAAAGGCAAGCATCCTGATTTTCATCAGAGGAATGCTCTAGAGTATGTGCACAACCCTTGGCTGAATTATTCCTTCATTGCAGGGGGTTGGACTAGATGACACTTGGGGCATAGCTGTCAACGTTTCCCTTTTTTTAAGGGAAATTCCCTTATTCCGAATAGGATTCCTCGCAAGAAAAGGGAAAAGTTGACAGCTATGACTTGGGTCCCTTCCAACTCTGCAAGTCTATGATTCCATGAATGCCATACAGGTTGCAAGGAGGGGAAATAGAGAAAGAAAGAGCAGGTATTTGTTTCGTTAAAGCATTTCAAAACCACTTTGCAGTTCAAAAACCTCAAAGTGGCATACACTGTGTGCGTATAGGCAATATCCCTTGAAACAAACAGAAAACATACCAATTAAACAACAGCCTAAAAACCTATAAAAGCATGGGGAGGCAAATGAAACAGAGATTGATTCAGGGGTTTCATCCACATAAACAAGAGTCCAATCTTATAGGTCAGGGGAAGGCTGGGTGCCGCAATACGTCTTTGCAAGATGACTGGAGCAGCTGATAGCTGCTGCTTTAGGTGTGGCAGAGGGTACGGGCAACAGCAGAAAATGGCCCTTCTCAGGTCACCACTATATGATATTCTGTGAGGCATGGGGCCCTGAGCAGAATTTCCCTGGGTGATCTAAGTCAGCGGTTCTCAACCTCTGGGTCCCCAGATGTTGTTGGACTACAACTCCCATCATCCCTGAGCTCTGGCCTTGCTAGCTAGAGGTGATGGGAGTTGTAGTTCAACAACATCGGGGAACCCAAGGTTGAGAAAGGCTGATCTAAGTGATCCTACAGATCTATACAGGGGCAGTTGGTCAGGATATTGTTTCTGAGAGAGAGAGAGAGAGAGAGAGAGAGAGAGAGAGAGAAAGAGAAAGGCAGTCTCTCATGGGTCCATTTTATTAAAATGAAAAACGCAGAAGACATGCCAACAGTGTCCCAGTGATAACAGCTTTCCTGGCATTAAGTTGCTGCTGAATCCCAGATTTGTGTTTGTGTGTGTGTGTGTTGTGTTCTGCTAGAACTCAGTTATTACCCAGAGTATGTGCAGCTGACATTTTAGAAGGAAGGGGCGGGGGGCAAGAATTGCAGAACTGGCTTTAGATGAAGACTCTCCTTCCTATCTTTTGGCTGACGTCTGCTAGCTGGTGGCCCAATATTGATCCGATAAAGAGCCAACGAATCAATATGTTAATTGAATCCTGTGGTCATTCTAGCATCGATTCAGAATCCACTCAGCTCCCCAGAAGCATCTTGATGAATAGTTTATTGTTACTAGAATCCATCTTTTTGAAACGAATGTCTTGTTAGTCTTCCTCTCCCCCTAGTTTTTGGCTCAAAGTGTTTGCTGAGACAGCTTTGTATTTCGAAGTTTATGCTCACTTCGTCCTGTTCAGTTTCAGCCCACTGGGGAACGTTTTCCAACCTGAGGGCCACTCTCCTGTCTGGGCAGGCTTCTGAGGGCCACATGCCAATGGTGGGTGTGGCCAGAGGCAAAAGCGGGTGGGGACAGGTGTAATTTTGTGCAATCTACATGTGCTCACACACCCGTCTCTCTCTCCCCCAGCCATGGAAACAAAAGGCCTGTTTGCAGTTCAAGGACACATTCCAGCTGGGCAAGAGGATAGCTTAGTGCAGGCATAGGCAAACTCAGTCCTCCAGATGCTTTGAGACTACAATTCCCATCATCCCTGACCACTGGTCCTGTTACCTAGGGATGATGGGAGTTGTAGTCCCAAAACATCTGGAGGGCCAAGTTTGTCTATGACTGGCTTAGTGGGTAGGGCATGAGATTCTCAATCTCAGGGTTGTGGGTTCAGGCTCCATGTTGGGCGAAAGATCCCTTTGTTGCAGGGGGTTGGACGAGATGACCCCCGTGGTCCCTTCAAACACTATGATTCTAAAACCACTTTGGGTACAAAGCAAGTGCCAATGCTGGCGTGTGGCCAGGGGAGTCTTTAGCATATGTATTGCTGGGGTGCAAAGATCTGCCCAGCGCCCCAAAGTCTGACAAGCGTTGCTGTTGTGAATGACAAGCGCCTCCGCTGGCACGGCACGTCTTTGGAAAATGAGCGCACAAAGTCGAAAGTCCTTTAGTGAAACAGTAGGTATACATTTCAGTAATTCTTAGGTATAACACTGGTTTTGAAAGACCTACACTGGCTCCCAGTACGTTTCTGAGCACAATTCAAAGTATTGGTGCTGACCTTTAAAGCCCTAAACGGCCTTGGTCCAGTATACCTAAAGGAGCGTCTCCACCTCCATCGTTCTGCTCAGACACTGAGGTCCAGCGCTGAGGGCCTTCTGGTGGTTCCCTCACTGCGAGAAGCCAAGTTACAGGGAACCAGGCAGAGGGCCTTCTCGGTAGTGGCACCCGCCCTGTGGAACGCCCTCCCAAAGAGAAAAACAACTACCAGACTTTTAGAAGACATCTGAAGGCAGCCCTGTTTAGGGAAGCTTTTAATGTTTAATAGGTTATTGTATTTTGGTGTTCTGTTGGAAGCAGCCCAGAGTGGCTGGGGAAACCCAGCCAGATGGGTGGGGTATAAATAAATTATTATTATTATTAGATTTTCTAGCTTGATCAAAATTATCTATTATTTTTATTAGGCGGCTTCAGCGGCAGGTGCCTGGCGCCCTCCAGAATTCAGCGCCCAGGTGCCCTGCACCCCTTGCACCCCCGGGTAAAGATGGCCCTGCATGTGGCCTGGCTAGAGAAAGAGAAGCCTGGAGATCTTCTTTCACCCACTCTTTGCATGAGGTTTCCTTCTTGTTGTTTGATAATAAATTGCTTTCTGGTGGCACTTTTGGAGAGTCTGCAGTGCAGTGTTACAGTTCCTTTCAAATTAATTAGACTAAGTGTGCTGACTGGTCATTTTGCTTCCTAAGTGAATAATGCTGGCAAGAATTAAAAGTTACAAGTCTGCCCCCCTCCCCCCGTGAAGCTAACTCGGTGGGGACAAGCAGAAGAGGAAAAGAGATGTCAGGAAAGACATCTTCTGGAGCCTGCTAAATTTCAATGCTGGTTCCCTCCTCTTTCAGCCCACTTGGTTTCTGTGCTGGGTGTAGAACTGCTTTGCAAAAAATGTGCACATTAGGCAAAATTGCATCCCCAAAATGTGTTTGTTGGGAGAAAATTCATTCTGAAAGCTGATGTGGAGAACTGGAGCTAAGTCTGGAAAAATGAAAAATGGAGAGAAACAAAAATGGATATATTTGCCCATCCTTCACTTTTGGGGTCTTGTGCCTTTCATCCAAGTCTGCTTTGCTGAGCTGCTCTCTTTTTGGCTTTCCTTCTGCATCTAGTGCGAACATGTATGACTCCTGATCCGGAAGGGGTGTACATGCAGTAGGGATACATGAAATACAGTGGTACCCCGCAAGACGAACGCCTCGCAAGACGGAAAACCCGCTAGACGAAAGGGTTTTCCGTTTTGAGGCGCTCGCAAACGAATTTCCTATGGGCTTGCTTCGCAAGACGACAGCCCATAGGAAATCTCAGGGACAGCGGGAAGCGCAGCGCGTCTTCCCCACTGTCCTCGGACCTCCTCCGAAGCCTGGCGGCGGGGCGGGGACACCTCCTCCCGCCGCCGCCGGGCTCGGAAGGCTCCTCCGAGCCGGGCGGGGGAGGGAACACCTGCCGCCGCCGCCCGGCTCGGAACGGTGCTCCGAGCCGGGCGGGGAGGGAACACCTCCGCCGCCGCCCGGCTCGGACGGTGCTCCGGCCGGGCGGGGAGGGAACACCTCCCGCCGCCGCCCGGCTCGGGCGGTGCTCCGAGCCGGGCGGGGGGAGGAAGACCTCCCGCCGCCGCCCGGCTCGGAACGGTGCTCCGAGCCGGGCGGGGGAGGGAAGACCTTCTGAAGGCGGGCGGGGGCGAAAGTCTTTGCTCCCCTGCCTGCCTGTCCCGGAGGGCTTTTGAAGGCGGGGGAGCAAGACTTTCGCCCCGCCCGCCTTCAGAAGAGGTCCAGGACCTCTTCTGAAGGCTGGCGGGGGCAAAGTCTTTGTCCCCCTGCCTGCCTTCCCAGGGGCTTTTAAATTGCCCCGGACAGCGGAGAAGTCCTCCGCTGTCCCGGGTGATTTTAAAATGCCGCCCGCCAGCATTTTAAGATCGCCCGGACAGCGGAGAAGTCCTCCGCTGTCCCGGGGTTTTTTAAAATGCTGGGGGTGGGAAGAAAGCCCTTGCCCCCCCCCCCAGCCTTCAGAAGAGGTCCGGGGACAGACTGTCCCCGGACCTGGTCTGAAGGCGGTTTCCCTAGGAACGCATTAATTGATTTTCAATGCATTCCTATGGGAAACCGTGCATCGCAAGACGAAAAACTCGCAAGACGAAGAGACTTGTGGAACGAATTAATTTCGTCTTGCGAGGCACCACTGTATCCTTCTAAACATGTATATCTGCTAGAGCACTCCCCCTCCCCCACTGAGAAATCTCCTGGGGTATTTCTTTTTTCTTTTTTTCACCCCACTTCAGAAAATTAGGCTTGCATCCAACCGCCTTGAAAATGAACTGGGAAAAACAAAAAGTGGATCTCTTTCCAACCATCCTTTGCCCAAGTGGATGTGTGAATCGACCCCAAATATCTGAAAGACCATCACTTTCCCTTCTTGGGTTTCTAAGCAGTGGAGACTGCTCTATTAGAGTGAATGGCCCACTGGGACCAAAAACATCAGTCAGCCCTCAGCCAGCCTGCTCCAGCCTTCTTACTTACAAGCAGACCAGGGTCTAGCAGTCAGTTTCTTCCTCCTTGGTCTCAGGCATTGCTCCTATACAACTCAGCAGGAGAAAGATGAGGGCAAACTTAAAATTACTAGGCTAGTCTTGTCATTGACCTTGTCTCCACCCATTGTTGGTCTTCTGTCCTGCTAGTTTCTATTGGAACTAGTGACTGCTGGTGTTAACATTGGCAGAGGGACCTTCATAGTTAGGCTACTCTCAGATGTGCAGGGAATGGTGGCCGATGGAAGCAGAGGCATTTCTCTGTGGAAGCCCCTGTTAGAATTCCTGCTCCATGATTGCAGTCATGGGATTGTTGTCTTTCACATGACGGTGTATGTTTTGACTCCACAGAGTGGGAAGTGATGGAGACAGGATGTTTGTGTTACTGTGTTCCGTGAAGTGGGACTATTGTCCTTTGTTCTTTTTCTCTTTGCTGTCTGATGCTAGAGAGAAAGGGAGCCATGTTGCAGTGCTCCATGTGTGTTTATATGTAAATAAAGTAGATTAGCCAAAATGTTGAGTTGCTGAGGTCTGTTACACTACTGCGCAAACTCTGCGGATCCCTAAGTGTGCCGGTGTCAGTTGGCATCGGTCGCTGTGATGTTCAGGCTAAAGAAAGCTTTTGAAGCTCCCAAATGAAAGACCAGGAGGGAGAGAACATGCCAGTCGGGCATGTGTCTTTGCCAGGGACCTACTCGAGAGTAGGCTGAGCTCCCTCCCCAAAGAGATGCGTCCAGCGTCTTTGACTGTTAAGGTGCTTTGTTTTACTCACCTCTTTCGCCAAATTAATACTGTTCTATTCCATTGGAGGGCAGTCATAGAATCTTAGAGTTAGAAGGGATCCCAAGGATCAACTGGTCCAACCCCCTGCAATGCAGGAATCTCAGATAAAGCATCCATGACAGATGGCCATCCAAACTCTGCTTAAAAATCTCCAAGGAAGGAGAGTCCACCACCTCCCAAGGGAGACCGTTGCACTGTCGAACACTTCTTACTGTCAGAAAGTTTTTGTGATGTTTAGTCAGAATCTCCTTTCTTGTAACTTGAATCCATTGGTTTGAGTCCTACCCTCCGGAGCAGGAAAAAAGAAACTTGCTCCATCTTCCCTGTGACAGCCCTTTAGACACTTGAAGATGGCTATCAGTCTTCTCTTTTCCAGTTCTGTCCACCTGCCATTGTAATGGTTATCTCCATTTTCATAACTGTATATTATGCCACTGTTACCAAACCTAGGACCCTAAGCAGAAATATAGGCAAGAAATCTTATAAACAAGTAAATAAACTGAAACATTTTTTCACTGCATTTAATCCATTGGATTGGGTTTCAACCAGGAACTTGCCTGCCACAAGAAGTTCACAGATCAGACTAAACATCTCTCCCCGCTGCACCTCCAATTCCTCCTTCCGTTCAGCTTGGAGGCATTGTGGTTTTTCTGTCCCATGTAAACTGTTCTCTCTGGGCACAAACCTGCTTCCTTTTTCAGCTGCGAAGGAGAGTTCTCCTTGATTTTGGTGCAGTCTCTTGTTCTTGGCCCTCTCTGGCCTTCCTTCGCTTTGTTGCCATGCCTGATTCTTCCTACGCTTGAAACAGATCCTTGGTTCTGCATGCCAAAATCACCTCCCTTTCCCCCTTCTTCTTCAAAACCTCTCTCTCTCCCCCCCCCTCCCTCCAAACGTTCCCTTAAGAAATTGCTGAAGACTTGCCTTTTCCATGGTGACTCCCAGAGCTTATAGTCTGTGCTGGAGAGAAGCACCCTATCATAGAACCATAGAACTGTAGAGTTGGAAGGGACCCTGAACATCATCTAGTCAGACCCTGAACATCATCTACTCCAACCACTTGCAATGCAGGAATCTCAGCTAAAGCATCCCTGACCGTCTGTGTAAAACCCTCCAATGAAGGAGAGTCCACAACCTCCCAAGGGAGACTGTCCAACCATCGAACAGCTCTTACCGTCAGAAAGTTCTTCCTGATGTTTTGTTGGAAATTCCTTTCTTGTAACTTGAAGCCATTGGTTTGAGTCCTACCCTCCAGAGCAGGAGAAAACAAGCGTGTCCCCTTTTCCATGTGACAGCCCTTGAGATATTTGAAGATGGTTAATCAAATGGACTTATAT